GACTTTTTATCTAATACATTTCTGCATATTAATTACTATTCAGTAATTAAAACTTTTTATAAGCTAATTATCATTGATTACGGTAAATATTATATGACTTTTTCTTAATTGTTAATCTTCATATATTATAATAGCTTGAAGTTTTTAATTAGGATTCTAAAAAGAGTAAAATATCAGCTTCTTTTAATACGAATTCTACGTTTTTTTCGTTAAATAATTAAAAAAAATTTTCAACAAAGAAAAATGACTAAATTTCTATAGTTTATTTTTTCAAGTAAATTACCTTGTATAGGCAATGGATTACATCGAATAGGTTTAGGTTTAACAATTCGATGAGATGAAGATGTAGTCGACATAACTATAAATATATGTATGTGACAATACCACTCGTATGTTCTTTAATGCCTTGATGAAGAGAAAGCCATCATTGCTTTATGTATATAGTTTATTTACCTTTGTCCATATGTTACTATTACGCGTTAGTTATTGAAGCAATTCTCGAACAATTCAATTCTAGCCCACACATACATACATACACTTGTTGTGTGACATGTAAACATAATTAATCTCATAATCAAGAAGATGATAATAATGCTTATCTTTTGTTTATTCTTGCTTGTAGAGAATTGGAAGATGTTCGTGAACATGATCGACGTGTTACTGAAGAAGCTGAAATAGCTCAAAGAGATGTAAGAATTAATTGTCGTCTTCCTTCTGTTTTTTTCTTCTATTAATAATCCATCCACTTCTAGTAATTTAACACTTTTTGTTTAATATCACAGTAAGCGCTTAGTGCTGTTTACTTGCTCGTTTAATTATTGATAGTTGTAAATACCAAAAAAAAACAAACAAAATTTTCTTTAGCTTCAAACAGCTTTAACTGAATCTCAAAAAAATGCTTCACTTCTTACTGAATATCATGAATTATATGATTTACAACGTAAACGTTTGGAAAAACAAATTAATGTTATTGCATCCGAAAAAGAATTATGGCGTGGAGCAGCACATACAATTGCTCTCAAAGTAAATGTGTTTTTTAATGGAGCTCATCGGGTTTGGTGATCTATTCTGAACAACGATGTCATATATGTGGTTTTGTAGAGAAAATTACATTGCATCGAATAGTATATAAAAAAATCAAGTTATATGAAAATTTGGATATGCTAAAAGTCGATACATTGTTTATAATGCTTGGTGGATATATAATAGAGTAGTCGGAGACATTATAATCCATAGGATATTCGAAGACAAACTTATGCAAATTTGTTTTTACAAATTAATTCCATATAGTTATATGTGTTCTTCAAGTTTTTATGATGAATATTTTTCATGGTTGCTTTCGTCATACCGAAAAATAGTCCCTTTTCTTAGGTCTAGGTCATTTATTGACTATATGATATTACAATTGTCTATAACTACTCTATCATATCCCTCAAGCATTATAACCAGTGTATCGACCTATAACACATCAAAACTTTCATACATGGCATTCTGGTTCACAATAGTCTACCAAATCTAACGTGGTCCTCTATTTAAAACAAAGATTTGTTCTTTTTTTTTAAAGGTTATTGTCGAACATAAATTAGCTACATCAAAACGTTTAAGTCTTGCTGAACAAACTTGGTATACATTAGCCAGTCATTTTTCTATTTATCTTATGGATAAAGATACAATTGAATTAACAGATGTACAAAAAGCTGCAAATTTATGGCGTGAAATAATTGAAACATTTGATCGTGAACAAGAACAACGTGAATTTGAAACAATAAAAAATCTTAATCGTCTTAGTAAATCTATTGAAACACTTCGAGATTTATTTCGACAAAATCATTTGTATGTTTTAAAGAAGAAAAAAAAATTCTTTTTTTTTAAATGTTTTTCGTTCAAAGTGATGCCGAAGGAAAATTCACTCAGATACCTGATCAACGAAGAACAATTGAATATTTAACTCAAATAAAACTTTGGGAAGACTCATGTACACGTGAAATAGAAAAATTTGGTGGTGATACTGTACTTATTAATGAAGAACGTATGAAAAAAGCTGATAGACAATTAAAAAAATGGATTGAAATGACAGAACGATTACTTAGTCGTCATCCATCAACAAATAGTGGAGACCATAGTGAACAACAAGTACTTCGAGATCTATTTGATGTAAGAATTTCTTGAAACCAATTATACAGAAAAAAAAAGTTTTTCAAAAATTTATTTATATTTTTTCTTCCTAGAATATTTCTCTTTTACATTCACAATATCGTATACGAATGACAGGTGAAAATGGTTTAGCACAATCAGTAATTTTTTTTAGCAATGTACTTGAATCATGGAGTGGTAAATTTAATACATATGCTTATAGCGGAGGAAAAACAAGTGAAGCTGAATGGCTAGCATTTTATTCACAAATGGATGAATGGCTTGAAACAATGAATAAAGCAGTGACTTTTGTTGGAAAATCAACAAAAGATAATCATGATGATACCGGTGGAGAAAAAAAAGAAAATGAGACAAAAAATGTGTAAGTATTAACTGCTACCCATTAAAATAAGATATATAGAATGAAGCCTAATAGGGAATTTTGGGTTACCAAATTAATTATTTTTGATTGTTGTTCGATGAATATCTCATGAAAAGATAAAGATCTCGAGCTAGACATTTTATATGATTGGAATGATATTCCTGACCTCAAATGAATTTATCAGGGTCTACGATGGAGCGGAAATATTACTAAGATGTCGATCACGATCTAAGCGATTCAATTTTTAATTCTTATACTTCAGTAGTCCTTTTATTTATTACCCAACAGTGAATATGAGAATAAATGAAGTTCTATAGACAAACAAAAGAGTTCACCTTTGAACTATCATATTGATATCAAGATTTCAATTTTAGTTAATAAGAAACTTAGAATGACAAAAAAATATTTATCATTAAAATAATCAAAGATAGGATACTATTTAAAACTTTTTTTCTTTTAGTGTGCAAGCTTCAGTAGTATTACAACAAGCTAATAAAGGTCTGGTTTCTCTTCGTCATTATGCTGAAAGCCATAATGGTCGTATTTCGGATGAAGTAAATTATTTTGATTATCAAATAAATACGTTATTAATCTTTTTTGTTTTTTTTTTTCATCTAAAGACTCTTCAACTTGATTCAAATATGGTTCATTGGCTTATTCAAATTCTTATTGATCTAGCTCCTAATCAATCAACATTATCTCAAGAAGGACATGATCATCTGGAAGCAAGTCGTATACCAATTGAAAATTTAATTAAAACGCAAAAAACTTTATGTGAACAATTAAATTCCATAACGAAATATATTGTGAAGTAAATGACAGCATTTGAAAGGCGAAATTCTGATTTATTTAAAAAAAAGAATTCTTTTTTTTCTAGATGTTGTGCAGCATTAACCGCTGAAGAAATGTTTACTAAACAAATGCGTAAAGAAAATGATGCAGAAAAAGAAGTACTTGATCTTAAACGTATGCAGGTAATGAAAAATTTCATTTCATTAAAGTAAAAAAAAAAAGATTTTACGAACAAAAAAATTATTTTTACAGCCACTTCTACAGGTATTATTTATTATTGTCCCTCTTTCTGTTGTGAATGTTTGCATATAAATGACATATATATTTGTTTTTGTTTTTATGCATCTAAAATATAGATGAATTTATTTATAGGATGAATGCAATGATTGGATCTATACATCAAAAGTTCTCTTATCTGAATTAACTGGTGATGAAAGTATAGTCGATACAAGTCCACCAAAACGTGAAATTGAAAAACCATCAACAAAAGATCAATCAGATTGGCCTGATATGTCAACAGAAAGACGAAAAGTAAATCGATTAGATTGAAGATTTTTGTTTTTGTTTATTACATCTTTATAGGACGATGATGAAACAGTAGGAGTTGAACATGTATCTTTTGAAGCAATAAGTCGTGGTGGTCTAACAGAACGACGTCGATTAGGACGATCACCTGATGACGATAGAGCTAGTTCAATAGCTTCGAAATCAGCTAAAGTCGGTTTTGATGCATTACGAACAATTGCTCAATTGCAACAACAATTAGGGTAAGCTTATTGAATTATTTTTGTCTAATAAATATTATTGATAATTTTTTTTGATTTTATATAGTGAAACAGAAGCACGAGCAGCTAATTTACAAGAACAAGCAATGTCTCTTGACGTAGCATTACGCGAAGCAAATCAACGTATTCAACAACTTGAATCAAATCAACGTGTTCAACAATGATACATCAAATATTTTCACTAACGTTAATGTTTATCGTATAAAAAGGAAACAACCAGACCTTATTTATGCCTTTATGTTTCACCTTATTTTTTTCTTCTTTGTAATAAAAATAGTAGCACTAACGTCTCACTAAACATTTCTATTACTGATTTGAAAAAAAGAAGAAGAAAATGATATAGAAAGGTTGATAAGATACATAAAAGTATTATTCATAATATTATTGTATAAGCAATATTGTGCGCGGTATGCTCAAATTTCGAATCAACTCAAACCGAACTCGAACTGACTCTTGAAAAGCGAATGAATATAGACAAGCACATAAGAAAAATAATTGACTGAACTATAATATTTTTTGTGAAATGGTGATGTGGTTAGTGATTGTCAAACGACGATTGATCTATCGTTTTACATGAGGGACTAGTAGTGATTAATCTACATTGACAAAAAATTTATTAAACTCAGAAATAAACTGTTAATGAATTAAATTTAAAATTATTTCGCATAAGAACTTAAATTTATTTTGAATTTAAATCGAATTTCCATAAACTTAAAAAAATTTAAATAGATCTAAGCTACATCTAAATATTAAAATAAAAAAAATAAAATGCAGTAAACGGGTGTGAGTGTGAGGTATGTTAATAGTGTCTTTTCTCACACCCACACCGACATCCAAATGTTCTACTAGCAGATGAATACAACTTCGAGATTGAACATGATAAAAAGTCTATTTTGGCTGTTCGATGTCTAACTGATATTAGTCCATTGAGGCTCATAACCAGCTGGTAAACTCTTTATCGATAAAGGGTAGTGTTGATTATCGTAGGACGAATAATCTTTGATTTTATAATGGCTCACAAGTGCTTTTCGAACAGCCATCCAAGCTTGCCGTTGCTCAAATGGAGGCATATTTGTATCATGCATGTCGCCTGATCTAGCTTTTTCGTCGAGATCATCGAGCCATTGTGGTGCTCGTTGTTCGTAATACGTGCGTCGTGGTGAGAATGTGTCGCCTCCGACGATAAGTGAATCACCACTCCGCCATTTCTGATAACAAAGCTCTAATGTTGGACACGCAGTATCTACCCATCTCCAGCCCCTGAATACCATGGCTATATGAGGCGCACTACTGTGTTGGTCATGATTCAGTTGACAATTATCACACTTTGTTCCGCAACCAGGGCAACACGCTTGACAGCCAAGTCGCTGCGTAATCAGCATGCGGCATGCATGCTTTGCTTCTTGATAGAATTCATCCTGACTATTAGTGATTTTTTGCGTCAGTTTTTCTCGTTGATTGCTGATTTTCATAAATCGCTGACGAAACTGATCGGGTTGTTGAATCTCGGCCGAAATTCCAACAAGATTTTCCATTTTAAAACTTGATAAAATAGCGTGTAAAGCTTGAGTAATCGATCGATAAACTTGCTGAACGTTCCGACATTCGTGAGTTTTCACTACATCAACAGCCGTGTCGATGCAATTACTTACTAACTTTTGTAAACTAAGAATTTCTGAGGCGACAATATGTTGAGCACTGAGTTCAACATTTTCTAATGCTAGTTCTATATAATATCGATTGATATCTAGTACATACTTCATTATCCTGTCGCCATTCGGTGGATTCGAACCAATACTACTGTCATATGCACTACGAGCGATTTTCTCCGGATCAATATGAGAGTTTCCAGTGATTCTCATTCGAATTGCTTCATTTACTGTCTCTTTAGAGACTTTCATGATTTCTTCGAAAACTTGATTGAGAAAGTCATCAGCAAATTTTCGACTTTGTTGATCCGAATCACGAATAAGAACAAATTGTTCTTTGATGTTAGCCATCCATTTTTCTAATCCTCCAAGAGCTTTTCGCATTTCATTATGTTTCTCTTCCGAAATACGTATGGCTTCATCGATAAGAAGTCTAAGTGCAATGAAAATGAGATCAGCAGTAATTTGAGGCAAATTAATCGAACGATAGTATTTTTGAATCGATGATCGTTGTGCGTTCATCGCATTGTCTACATAATTTACCAGATTTGTTATTGTCTGAGGGTCAGAATAAGCTAATTTCATATTTGAGACCATTCCAACAAGATTTTGATGGAGATCTGGCATGAGATGTTCGATAATATGTCGAAGAATCTCTCGATTAAGCTCATCAGCACGATGATCCCGAAACCACTCTAAAGGATGTTGTGAATCACGCGTTGATGACTTAAACAATCCGGTTAGTTTACTGATGAATGATTGATCCTTTTGTTTCGATGACAAATATTTACTGATTAAGTCAAACATATTATCAAGATCGATGCATTTTTTGTTGTAACTGTTTATGTTAAAAAGCAGACACCGGTTGTAAATATCGTTCGTGTTTGCATTGGCTCGACGTGAAAGTACCAAACGACTGTAATTGTTGAGAATTGTATTAATAATCTCTTGTTGAAATTTTTGCATCGACTGAATATTTTCTTCAAATTTTGTTTTTAACTCATCATGTTTTAATGCCAAAGCTTGATTAAGTTCGTCAACATCAGTATTCGTACGAATTTCACGGTCGAAAAAAGCTTTCGCACTCTCAAGTAATTGATTTTGAACTTGAACTGTTGCAGTTTCACGCGCTGCAGTATATACATCTTCTTCGAACTGTTCTTGCAAGAGTTGTTGGTTACATCGAATTGATGGTTCAATATTTTTCTGAATGTTAACTCGTAATTCAGCATAATAAGTTTGCTGAGTGGATGATTGGAATTGATTATAGGCTTCGTGCACAAGCTCTTTTGCGAGATCTTCGAGTTTTTGAAGACCTATGTCAAGAACTCTTTTCATATAGATATCAGGACATATTTGATTTGGAGTCGGTCGATTTGTTACCAACTCTTTAAGCATCGTTCGTCCATTCGTCAGGAGTTGTTCTGATTTTTCTCGGACAATATTTTTTGCGATCTCTTTGAGTTCATTTGTCACACTCAATTGGTATAGTGTCTTACATTCGAGTAGCCCTTCACCAAGCTCATCGATTAAATTCCAATTTGTGCTCATTTTCTTATAAAAATAATCAAAATTCTTGTAGCCGAAATTGTTTTTCGTCCTTTGTTCGGCTAATCCACCAAAAATTTGTGAACGAAGTTCATTAATTTCAGATGGAAACGTTTGATTGCGCCATCGTTGAGTGAGATTCAAATCAGTATTGGTATCTTCAGAAAAAGCACTTGGAAGAAGAACAAGATTTTCCTCGCGCATTTCAAGTTCATTGTCGATTGATACACGAAGAAAACGTGATGAATTTTGTAAATTATTTCGTAGTTTTATTAATTGTTCAACAAAAACATCTTTCTTTCGATCCATCTGATCACGGAGAACAAACATCAACTTGGATTTGAATGGTGAACTTTGTATTTGTAATTTTGCATAGAGACTCATGCCGATAAGTCTTTCAAGACTAGAACTTAATTCACCTTTATGATTAATCAATACAATATGAGAGGATAGAACAGCCATTGTAATCATTTGATTATCAAAAATTGAACCAGATTCTTCGAGTGAGAGTAGACCAAGGGGGGAAAAGCGTATTTCTAAGTATTTCTGTACTTCAGAAATACGTAGAAATACGTAGAAATACCTGGAAATACGGAAATACAGAAATACAGAAATATGCTTTTCCCCCCTTGGAATAAACACTTCGATGACTACAGAAAAAGCGGATGCTTCTTTTGCTTCTCCTTTTCTCCATTATAATAAAAGTGCTTTAACAGAAACCTGGTTTTCATTCCAAAATGGAAGCTGCATTTCCTAATGAATGGATGAATAACTTTTTTTTTCACATTCGCTCACTCACTGAGAAAATGGAGATGAAAAATCATTGGCAAAATGTTGAGCAGTGGTACACATTTATTTCCATTCTGACAAAGACATAATAAAATTTTCTCATCATTTAGAAGCTCATCTTTTACCAGTACAATTTGAATTCGGTCGGGGTTTAAACACTGTTCTTTTCAGGACGAATCCTTGCATGAAAACATAATCGCTGCGTGTCATTCGCGTCTATACAGATTACTTTTCTATCTCAGAAGTTTAGTAAGGATCTTCCAAAACCGATACCAAAAGAAACCAATTCAAAGATATGCGTACCGGTAATGGGGAAATTAACTCAATTAGTATAAAATATTCTTCTCTGCAAGTTTCAAGTAAGGACATTCTTTGAGAAAATTCTTTTAAAAGTGAACAGCACTAAACTGCGTGACTCCAGCGGAAAAAATAGATGCGTTTTTATTGTACGTAATTCCGCTGGAATTTCTACGGAAAAAAGATCGCTAATCCTTTCAAAAGTCAGATATAAAGCTAACTATCCTTGTGTGATGGCCCATATTAAAAAGTCTCTGGAGTTGAAATTTTCAATCAACCAAAAATTCCTTGACTCACGTGAGACTGTATCGTGTCGATGATGCCATTTGTGTTGATTGATTCTCAATTAGTGTATGGATGTGGGTGTGGGTTTCGGTGTGTGGTGTGAGTGTGGGGGTTGGTGTTTATGTGATGAAGGGGACTTTAACTACTCCGACACACGCAAACACCCAAACCCATATCCCATCTCTATATCTACATTGCCGATAGCGGTAACATTTCGTTCTATAATAAATGAAAACTTCTTAACGATAGACTTTTGAAGCATAACTAGTCATCTTTAATAACACAGCAGAACAATAGGTTCGGTTAGTTTTTCTGAGAGAATCAATTTTTCAACTCGATTTCATTTTATATTAAATTGATTGTCGATGATATATGAAAATGTAAAACTCTTTTCGTGAGAAAACAATTTTCTCAGAATCTGTGATATTCTAACAAATTGAATATTGTAATAGTAATATGAACTTCCGATGGATACTTTAAGCCCATTTTGTGATTAAACATATGCATATATTGTTGTTTTTTCGAATGTTTTCGATGTCGAGACGATCTTCACGTCATTCGAACGATAAATTTTAGTGAAAATAGAGATATGGCTTGTATTTTTGACGAGTAATCAAAGATAGACATTCAATCAAATGTTCAAAGACAATTGTTGGTAACGATGATTGATCAACAAAATTGAGAGATGAAAAATTCGACAAATTCCAGTTTGTCTTCAAACGTTGAAAATAAAAGGTTTCAATCATTATCGATCAACTTGTATTCGAGAATATTATATATATATCTATTGTTCAGTTAGTTACTCATAATAAATCTCTCAAATAATGAGATCACTTTTTTTAATTATTTATCTCCTTTGATTGTGCTCCATCAATCAAAGAAAGATTGTCATTTCTTCGAGACTCATGTTAAACAATGAGTTGATTCGATTGAAAAGGACAAACTTGTCGTTGGTCTTCTCCAATCAACTGTCGAAAATTTCGTTTCATTATAGTTCAACCTCGATTTTTCTTGTTGTTTGAGTTAGATGTAGTACAGATGATTTAGCTTAAAAACTACAGAAATTTCTACGCAGCTGTCAAAGTAATAATGTTTTATGGAACTCAAATATGACGAATAGATATCAATCTGCATAGATTATTATCGTAGATCTATGAGAGATCTGTTGCATCTCTTCCATATCTTGTTCATGATCAACGATTATGTCGACTTCCGATTGAATTTATTTCAGAAAAATTTGTTGATTGTGTGATGATCACCATTGAAAACTAACTCAAATCGAATGGAACAGAGCAGAGAAATACAACCTCTATGGGGAATGTATTCTGATTTATCTCAGTGGGTCGAAAGTTGTTACTCAATTAAGAAACTAAATTTAGCAGCTGATTTAGAATCAAACATCAATTAAAAAAGCATGTCCTATTATGCTGTTTGTTTAAGTTAATGAATATTCAATCGTGTGAATTAAATTATATTAGAAACAATTTATAGAATAATTATTAATCGATAGTTAATTGATAAAACATTTTGATATGATCATACAGATTCTGTTTCTTTCTTTTTCATTCTTTGAACATGATGAGAATATATCATGGGATCGAGATTTAAGACTGATGATGAAGAGATCGACTTTCAATTTGTCATAGAAGTACTTCATATATCAGCTAAGACCATCTGGATGCATATGATTGAAGAATTTCTAATTGTGAATCGCTCATACTTAGAAAGATTCTGAACCCATTTATAATTGAATTTTTGTTCGTAGTAAATAGTTAAAGTGATAACCAATATTCCTGAATCAACGTAGAAATTCAGTACAATGAGAACTATAGAACCTTTGTTATTGTCTTGAAATTCAGTGGGAGTTATGCAAGCATCTACTAGTAGGATGAGTTTTGCCCAAACGGCAAACTGGGTGGAGATATGAATCTTTTGCAACGCGGACGAAATGATGTGAAGTATGCTAAAGGTGAAATTGACAAGTATGAAAATGAATTATTTTGTTTGCACGTTTGCTTGTTTTTGTCACTTGATGTTTTTCTTCTTTTGATATTCTCATGTTATGTATCACCCAAAGGCGTTTGCAATAAATTAGCTCCCATTGGCGCATTCACTTTCATTCTTCTCCATATCGTTCTTTTAATATACGCTGTTGATTTTTCAAGGTGTAATTATTTCAAACTGCTCTTTGTCTGTGCGGTAAAATACAATGAGTGAATGTATTGTAGGAAACTACCCATGCAGACAAACTTTTGAGAAAAAGCGTTTAAGCGCACAAAAATTGACCTAAAATCAGCAAAAAGTGGACGTTTTTGGCTCACATTTGAGGTTCCCAACTGTGAGCCAAAAACGCCCATTTTTCGCCCTTTTTGTGCGTTTAAACGGGTTTACATGCATACAAAAAAAAACAAAAAAGTTGTTCTGCTTTTCCAGCTCGAGAAACGTGACTGTAATCATGATCGAGCATCTGAAGTATAAAAAACGACCACTTTTTCTCTTTTTAGTATACGTGTAAAGGGTGTGGGCGTGGGGTTGGGCTCGGGCGGGTATGGGGTGGCGCTATGAGTGTGAAGACTGATGGGGAATACCTACATCCAGATGCTCATAAATGTGTTTCCTTCTTATGATAGTAGCGAAAACTCGTGAAACCTTTCCTAGGCTGTTTTGCAGGATGTCCAAAAAGCGAAGCTTTCTGATCTGAAATCCGGTTTTAGGCACTCGTGTTACACTTTGGAGAATAACCAATATGATATTCGGAATCAGCGCTTCAAACTGCGTCGAATCGTATAAGACTCTAAGTATTTTTCAAAACTAAAATTTCTCGAAAAGGTTTGGTCTGGAATCACCCAAGTATATTTTGCAAAAGAAAGTTTTTGCTAAAAAGCATTCAATTCTCAGGCGTATTTTGTGAATGATATATGGTTGTTTCTGATCAAAAGAAAACTGTTTCGGAGGAGACAAGTTAAATTCCAGGGTGCTTATACGAAAACTGTTTAATTTCGAAGGGTCTCCCTCAGGTAATTTTCGTAAAAAGAAACTTTTTTTGAAAAAGATTTAATGCTCTTGAAAATGATTTCCTGAGCAATATGCGATCATTTCTTAGCAAAAAACACTTTTTTTTCTGCGAAAAAGCCACATGTCTACCTGGCTATGCGAAAGCTCTCCACAGTGCCACACACATATCACAGCTACACACCCACACCCACACCCTACTCCACTCACACCCTACTCCACTCACACCCAAGCCCACAACCCACCCGCACCCATACACCCCAACGTCTTATTCGTTTTTAAGCTCATCATTTCTCAAAAAATGACTTCATGCATATCCTCCTAAAGTCCCATCGATTTTATTTAAAAAAAAAACTTCCAATGAGCCTATTGTGTTATTCCCTCAATTCTAGCGACCTCAGCGACTCTCCAGAAATGATTTTGAGTTATCATGTCAAACACTTATTGATCACTCATTAATTGTTCCAATACCAATAACTATTTCACTGAGAGTAAAACTATTAATAACTGAAGGTATAAACGACATTCTTCTTTATCGATGCCTTACCACTGTATATTTTTGTATTAGAATATTGAGCAAAAATTATTTCAACCATTCCTTAACATTTCAAAAATATAATGATAATAGGTGTAACTATTGAATGCAGGAAAACTTATTTCAGTGGTATTTTTTTACTCTAGTTTGAAATGCAGGCAGTAAGACTACATCCGAAAGAAGATACTTTTTATCTGATTAAAGCTGCATGAACATAGAATCATATTTAGAAAATGAAGAGTATTGTCATTATATTCTATCATCGGCATAGATTCATGATTTTCATTCAAAAAAAAATGAGTAATAACAATATGAAAAAGAAGATAAATACTTGGCTGTAAATAGATTTACCTTTCGAGCACATGATTGCACAAATGCCGTCGTTGACATACAATTCAGTGTTAATAAAATACGTCGCTAAGAATCATGACGACATAGATAGAGCGAAAATTACTACGGTTTCTAATTTTCAATTTTCTTCAGAGCAGTGATAACTACTAGATGTAAAATGAAATTTCATGCTATTTTCTGGTGAATATCCATGTGTTAACAT